CACACACACATACAACACACACACACACACACACACACACACACACACAAAATTAAACATTATCCATTAACATGTCCTTGTTATTATTGTAGTTGACTAAAAATTATTTACTATTTATATCATCTCTCCTCTCATCAAACCCAAAAGGAATTATACCTTTATAGCAAGCTCTAAACAAAAATTTATTAATAAAATTTATAGGACTTTTCCCTAAGTCCCAAATTATAATTTATATCCAAGTTATTTTTTACTAATTAAGGTTATCATTTCATTATTATTATAGTTAATTATATGTTAACAAATGAACTTTTGCTTAAAGGACTAATTTATCTTTTTTTTAAAGTTTTTTTGGGCAATCTTTCTCAAAGTAAAAAAAACCTCACCCGATGGACTCACTTTCACTTCCTTCCTTCCACACCCATCTCCAACTTTGTCAGCCTAGGGGCTGCCTGTTTGCCGGCGGCTTGAAGCACTTCCCTTGGGTCAATCAGGGACTTTGCGGTGTCCCTGAGACCAGCAAGGCTTTGTCTTCCTGTTCACCGTCTCTCTGGGACGGTTTAGGTCCTGCTGGACCGACCAGCAGCAAAAGTGTGAATGGCGGTCTCGGACTGTCAAGACCGCACGTTGTATTGTTGCAACGTTGGCTCCTCCTTAAATCTGAACTGATCAACAGCAGGTAGGGAAAGATGCCTTGTTTTATTACAATTTGATTGAATTTGCGTGCTAGTATTAATTTTCCTCCTATGGAGTCCTTGGTGTTCTCTGAGATTACAGATGTTTTATTATTAGACAACCTACGGACGATTCAGTAAAGTTGTATCTAGTCTTGTAACAAAACATCTGTGAGCAAACAACCAAACTCAGAGAGCACCAAGGACTTGATAGTTCAATCCTGAACTACAGATATTATCTCCCCACTAACTTAAATAGCTAGGAAATTCCAATATGCTATTAAATAAAGCCACTTTTATTTTCTCTTCTTAGACATCCCTCATTTTAGTAATCTATAGGGTTTATCGTTTCCACCTTAACAACGATTAAAATCAAACAATTAAGATAACACTTTCCCATCTTTCTTTATGGACCACAATTCCCTTAAATATTTGTGGAACTTCAGAACTAATGTCTCTTTGTGAAGCAGTGAAAATATAATGATGATTATTGTCTGCATTAAGACCAATATTTAGTGAATAAAAATAGGGCAATAGGGAGAAATAAAGCATTAAAGGGTTCAAAGGAGGTTGGAGTAGGCAAAAGAACCACTACCTTGAATTGACTAATTGCCCTGAATTGGTGTCAGGTAATTTCAAATATCTCTATGTTCATAAGATAAATTTAAAAAACTGGGTGAGTGTGTGTGAGAGAGAGGGGGGACAGGAAGAGAGAGAGAGAGGGAGAGATTGAGATTCATTTTAAAGGTTAAATCCATCTTTTCCAATGTATATAAAATACATCTATAAAATACATTGGTGGTACTTGTGTTAAGAACAGCAATTGAATTTGGGAATGATATAAATGGCATAAAGCATGCCATCATATGATTTCACTGCTTAGTGAGAACAATCCTAACACTTCTAGTTGTTGTCAACTAAGAAGGGTGAGCCGTGGTGGCGCAGTGGTTAAAATGCAATATTGCAGGCTAATTCTGCTGACTGCCATTGCTATTGTTATTACTAACTGGAAAGCAGCAGGGGTCATGGGCCTGCTGCAGAATGTGTGGGATGCAGGCTCATGAGGGAAGCCCTGAGAAGCCTGGGAGAGGCTGTGTGCAACATGGGGGAAACCAGAAGAGGGCTTGGCAGGCAAGGCAGAAGCTGCAGACAAACGCAAGAATGCTGGGGAGTGGATGGCACTGCAGGATGTGAGAACAGAAAAGGTGCAGAATGGGTGGTGCAGAGGGAGCACAAATGTAGGGACACTGGGGATGGGGGGGAATCTTTAGAGCAACCTATGATCCTCACGGCTAGCTTCCACTTTGACTTTGCTTGTGGAAATGGCTCACATTTACCTGTAACTGTGACAAATGTGAGCCATTTCCAAGTGCCAGCCAGTTGCCAAATGCATGTGGCAAGTCAGAAGGGATTGCAATCACATGACCATAGAACACTGCAATTTCATAAATGGGAGCCAGTTGCCAAGTACTCCAATCTGAATCACAGGACCATTGGGGCACTATGACAGCCGGAACTTTAAGGACCATTCATAAAGACTGCTCACTGCACCATCATCACTTCGTGTAATTGGACTCTTCACATTGCATAACATTTTTTCCCCTTGTTTGCATAGGCATCAAGACCAAAGCTGTAAGAAAAGGTGACGACTATGTGATAAATGGTAGCAAAATGTGGATCACTTCTGGAATTCAGGCAGACTGGATGTGCCTCTTGGCAAACACAAATGATGGACCACCCCACAAAAATAAATCTCTTCTATGTCTGCCAATGAAATTGCCAGGTAACAAAGTTAAGATAAAATGATCTCAGACAAAAAAAAAAAGTAATATCCAAACGTATAACTTATAAATTAGAGGAGTGGAAGTTCTTTTTAACCTCATAAATCATCCTGAGAAATTCATCTAAATAATGACAGTCTTTTTAAAGCAAAATAGTGTTGGCTGTTAGAATTTGAAAAATGTATATTGCGATTCTGCTTTTCTTAGACTACACAAAATCTTCAAATAGCTGCCAGGCTTTCCAAATTAGAAACAGAATTTTTAATTGGAGTTTTACAGTTTTTGGTGTGGGGTTTTTTTTTTTTTTTTTTTNGAAACCAAAAGGGGCAATCAGCATTCAGTACAGAATTTTTTTCAAATGATATTACTATTGGGAGATGCAATGCTAGGATATTTGGGGGTTCCATGCTGAAGGATAGGTCAATGCTCAGTTTCTAGAAAAACTTTCCATGGTCAGTAGTCTTATTCTTGAGAGAAATGTATTATATTTAGGATGGAAAAAATGTCATTTAAGACAAGGCCAGAGCAAAAAGAGGACCAAGTGAAGTATCACACCAATTTCATGCAGATAAGATCTATATTCTATCTACTATGCATTGAAAGAGGAAAACGGGGTTTCAATTATGAACATTCTGTATAGGTACAATTTAAGTAAACCTGTCCCAAAGGAGCTTTTTCAAGAGGCAATTCGACTTTCTGGTTTTTCTTTGAAGATGTTTCGCTTCTTATCCAAGAAGCTTCTTCAGACTTGGATGGGGGCAGTGGAGGGGGGAGGCATCTTTGAGACAGCCATGACCTGGATGACTGAGAATCTCCATAGACTTTCTCCAACCTGTCTTTTCCAAAAGTTTTTTGACCAAAAATATGTTTTTTGTTTGTTTGTGGTGTCTTTGGTTTGCTTGTACAAACAACAGTAATAAAAACTAGGTCACACCCTAAGCATCTGATGATTGAGGGACTTCTTCTTTCTTAGAAACTGTTATATTTGATCATTTGCCTTGCTAGCTTTTGCTGCCAAATGATACAAAGTTGTTTTTTCCATGAATTATTTTGCTCAAGTTCTGCTGGAAAGACAGATTTATAAGTTATTTTATCTCATGCTTTGCTTCCCGTTCTTTATTTTAAAAGTTATACGTAAATTTCCTCTTAAAAAGGGTTGGGAAATACTCCTATAGTCGATCTTGCTTTCAGAAATCACACAAAAGGACCGTGGTAAAAGTGTTTGACTTTGTCATCATTGCAGATTTGGTACAGATGAGCTGAAGAAAGAATTTCTTGCTCCAACAATAGCTGGAGATGTTGTGGCTTGCATAGGAGTAAGTGAATCTGGGGCAGGTTCAGATGTTGCAAGTAAGTATAACTCAGTATAAAATTTACAATTTACATTTACAACGGATTATTGACTATTTATTTTACAAATTTATGTGGCTATTTATTTAGCATACACATTAAGAACTCTTAAGTGGTGAGCAAGAATAAAACCATAATAGGTTAAGGTAAAGTTCCCCTCAGGGAACCCTAGGGGACAGTGCTCATCTCCATTTCAAAGTTGAAGAGTCAGTGTTGTCCGAAGACTTCTCCATGGTCATGTGGCCAACATGACTAAACGCCAAAGGCTCATGGTACACTTATCTTCCCACCAAAGATAGTTCCTATTTTTCTACTTGCCTTTTTTACGTGCTTTCAAACTGCTAGGTTGGCAGAAGTTGGGACAAGTAATGGGAGCTCACTCCATTACGTAGCACTAGGGATTTGAGCCCCCAAATTGCCAACCTTTCTTATTGATAAGCTCAGTGTCTTAGACACTGAGCCACCTTAGAAAACCATAATAGATTGAATTATACATTTTAAATCAAACAAAAAAAATATGTATTTTACTATCACTGTACCACAATTCTCATTTAATTACAATTACTTAAACATGTTTTTTATCTAAAATCATTTGTATTTAAAGATGCAGCCACCTATGGACATTCATTCGCAGTTTCAATAAACCTCCAATAACATTACACCTTTATGACATATTCTGAAACAAATTCAGTTAGTAAAATATATAAGCATTTCCCCCTTTCCCCCCCAACTCACAGTTTAAAGCTTATATCAATTTGCTTTTACTAGTACAACACACACACACACACACACACACACACACACACACAC